AATTGGCATATATCGCCCCTCCAAGGATCCCCCCTCTGCAGTTAATCAGTGCAGACTCTGATCCAGTACACTGTAAACTTGACATCCAGATTTCTCCTGATCCTTCTCCGAAATGAACACTCTTTAGTGCACCTAAAGCCTCTCCACAGCCCAGCTCTCTACACACCACTGCAGCATCAGCCATATCCCAACCAGCACCACACACTGTTTCCCACTGACCTCTATGAAGAAGCTCCACTCTACCAGCACAGCGACTGTTACCATCAACCAACCTCACATTTATTTTGTCTTTGATTGTAAGAGAGAGCAATAGAAAAATTAAGTGTCCATTTAAAATTTTACAATAAAATAAAATATGCCCTAGACCTTAATCAGTTTAGACGCCATATTGAATTTAACATAGATTCCTGTCATTTTCCTCAAACATTAAATATGCCCTACCCAGACTAAGGTCTTTTGTACTGTGAACTCTTACCAGCACACAGCAAACCAATGATGTGTTTCTGAGAACAGTTGCTTTTGACTGATGGTGATGTTGAACAGAGGTGAATCTGAGATTCATTTCCTCTGCACTGAATCTCTTGTGTCCACATCTGAGCGTCTCCTTTGCCAAAAGCAGCTGCTCCCAGCACCTGTACAGGAGCCCCACAGTCCAGCTCTCTACACACAACCTCTGCATCCTGCTGGTCAAAGGCAGCATCACACACTGACATCCACATCTGATCATGAAGTATCTCTAACCTCCCAGAGCAGCGAGAACCTTCAAAACAGCCTGACCTCTAAAACAAAAAGATGGAGTACGAACCTTTTAGAACAAGACTGATTAATTAACATTTTGTTCAACAAAATGAACCTGAGCAAATGACTCCAGCACTTTTACTATGAAAACCCCATATGACTGACCCACATTTTTTTAGTGTAGGCTCATTTCCAGTACAAACAGCATTATTTATCCAGATTGGTCCTGCTCCTGGTCCAAAATGAGCACTACCCAGAACATCTACAGGTTCTCCACAGTCCAGCTCTCTACACACCACTGCAGCATCAGCCAAATCCCAGTCATCACACACTGTTCCCCACTGACCTCTATGAAGAACCTCCACTGTACCAGCACAGAGACTGTGACCACCAAAGACCTCACATTTACACTATCTGTCCATGTAAGACACAGAAAAATATAAGTTAGTAGAGACTGAAAAGTGAAATTCATTATATTTTCCTTGTAAATTAAACTCCTACCGACACACTGCAGTCCAATGTTTTTGTGAGAACAGTTGAGTTTGTATGAGGATGATATTGGACAGAGATAAATCTGAGATTCATTTCCTCTGCACTGAATCTCTTGTGTCCACATCTGAGCGTCTCCTTTGCCAAAAGCAGCTGCTCCCAGCACCTGTACAGGAGCCCCACAGTCCAGCTCTCTACACACAACCTCTGCATCTTGCTGGTCAAAGACAGCATCACACACTGACATCCACGTCTGATCATGAAGTATCTAGCTCTAGGCTCTAACCAGCCTGACTTCTGAAAGAATACAGGCTATTTTTGTTTGACTAACAAAACACTATTTATATAGCCTAAAAATACTATTTATTGACCTATAAGATCATGATTTAAAGAGTTCATTTTATTGTTAAACTAGTATATAATTGGAAATGGCACACACTAACAGAATTATATGAAACATTCTATATATGTGACTAGAAAAGTATTCTTTGGTCTTTCCCATGATGTTTTGTGCAAACAGACTATATAGTCAAGTCAAGTCAAGTCACCTTTATTTATATAGCGCTTTTAACAATACAGATTG